TCAGTATGCTGATGACACCCAGATATATCTCTTCATGACCAGATCATCACCTCAGACTTCAGATGGCATCTCTCCTCTCAATGACTGTCTTAGAGCGGTAATGGATTGGATGAGGAAAAACAGATTGAAGCTGAATCCAGACAAAACGGAGGTACTGACAGTCACAGGCCTGAAAAGAGATTTGGGTATACAGTCTCCATTCCTGGATGGAGTCACACTCTCCTCTAAGGACTGTTCTCTGTTTGGGGTTGCTCCTAGACTCGTCACTTCACATGACTAGTCAGGTGAGTGCGACGGTCAGGAGCACCTGCTATCAGCTCTGGCTGACACGCCAACTGCACCTTTATCTGGACATGAGGGATCTGGAAACTGTGGTACATGCTTTGGTAACCTCACGTCTGGACTACTGCAACATACTCTACATGGGGCTACCCTTGTGCCTAACCTGAAAACTCTAATTGGTGCAAAATATGGCAGCCAGGTTAATTACCGGAACATCCAGGAGGGAGCAGATAACACCTGTGCTTAAATCCCTCCACTGGCTGCCAATTAGTTTCCGGATGCAGTACAAGGTGTTGGTTTTGACCTTTAAAGCCCTACATGGCTTGGGTCCATCTTATCTTAAGGACCGCCTCTCCCCATATGATCCCCACCACGCCCTTTGGTCCTCTGGGAGGAATCTGCTACAGCCAATAAAAACTAGGCTGTGTCAGACCTCCCAGAGGACCTTTTCTGTGACCGCTCCCAGGCTATGGAGTGGCCTGTCGGATGAGATCCGTCTGATTACTACGCTTACTGCTTTCAAAAAGGCAGTGAAGATGGATCTCTTCCGGCAGGCCTTCCCGGAATAATATCTGCCTTAGGGTGATGAGTTTTCAGTTTTTATTTTTATCTTGTCCCTATTGTTGCTTTATTTTTCTTTTATTGTTTATTGTGCCTTTTGCATTATAGCATTTTAATTCTTTTATAGTTTAATCTTGTTTTGAGGGGTGGGAGGGTTGGATTGGGGGATGAGAGAATGTTTTAATTTTGTTTGTTTTAAATGCTGTAACCCGCCCCAATTGTTGTACAGAGGGGCGGGCTATAAATAAAAATTATTATTATTATTATTAGTAGTAGTAGTAGTAGTAGTAGTACTTCATTACATATATTTGTTGCCATCCCTTTATAGGACATCTGCATATACTGTTGAGCCAGTCATCACAAAACCCGGCATACAGCTTTAAGATCTTTACAAACAAAAAGATATGGAGTTGTATGCTTTCATGGCTGGCATCCATAGTTTTTTATGGATTTTTCGGGCTGTGTGGCCATGTTCTAGAAGAGTTTCTTTCTGACGTTTCGCCAACATCTCTGAAGATGCCAGCCACAGATGCTGGCGAAACATCAGAAAGAAACTCTTTTAGAACATAGCCACACAGCCCAAAAAAACCCCCACACACAAAAAAATATATGGGTTAGCACTTCTTGAAAAAGCAAAGAATTACAATATCTATTCCCTAGACTTGTACAAAAAATGCAGATAAAATAATTATCTTCCATTTACCTCTAACAACTTGCATTGATTCAACTGATTTCTTTCGCATGAGCAGTTGTCAGATTTTGTGAACTAACTTTCACACATAAGAACATTAGAATAGACAGTTTGTAGAAGGTGGCTCATTTTTAGGAATACAATACCATGTGGAAAAACAGAGGTAGTAGCATAAGTAAATAATTAAAAAGCATCTGAGGAAGTAGATTAAAGTCTATGAAAGCTCATGCTGCCAAGTTCTTTTCTTCAGTTAGGGGCTGTAGAGATGGCCCCTAAGGGGTGGTTGTTGCTACCCCTTTCCTTGACAGATTGGGGCCATGGCAACCACATGCTGCAGCTCCGATCTGGGCTTTCTACAGCATGAAAAGAAGTTGCAAAAAGTGGCTCCTTTTTGCACCACAGAAAGGGTGTCCTACTGTGGTGGCAGCAGCTTTTCTCCACTTCTTTGGCACAGTGCATACATTTTTATAACTGGATTTATGTCTGTGTGAATTGGAATTATGCAGTTGCATAATGTTTGGTTTGACTTGTTTTTGGGGGGTGAGTGGGGGTGGGAATGAGGGATGGGATCTGATTTGATGTGATTTGTTTTGATGTTTTGAATACTGTACGCCATCCTGATTGCTTGGCAGAGGGGCGGGATATAAATAAAAATTATTATTATTATTATTATTATTATTATTATTATTATTATTAATGTTCATATCCAGCAGAACTTTGCTGTTACATCACTATACAGAGCCAGAAAACAAGATCAATGTGCATTGGTCCAATGTGCATTACATAGGTCCTGGTGCACACTGGACACTCTTGCTAGTGTCCAATTTTGCATCTTTGCAGTTTAGGTTTCTGGAGTGTGGTGTAGTGGTTTGAGTGTGGGACTATGACTCTGGAGATCAGTGTCCAAATCCCAGCTTGGCTATATAAACCAACTGGTTGACCTTGGACAAATCACACTAGAGGATCATAGAGTTTGAAGAGACCTCAAGGGTCATCCAGTCCCTCTCCCTGCCATGCAGGAACACACAATCAAAGCACCCCCGAAAGATGACCATCCAACCACTGTTGAAAAACCTCTAAAGAAGGAGACTCCACCACACTCAGAGGGAGTGTGTTCCACTGTCAAACAGCTCATACTGTCAGGAAGTTCTTCCTAATGTTGTGGTGGAATATCTTTTCCTGTAGTTTGAATCCATTGCTAGGGGTCCTATTATCTGGAGCAGCAGAAAACAAGCTTGCTCCATCCTCAATATGAACCCCTTCAAATATTTAAATAGGGCTATCATAACACCTCTTAACCTTCTCTTCTTCAGGCTAAACATACCCAGTTCCCTAAGTTGCTCCTCATAGGACATAGTTTCCAGAAACTTCACCATTTTGGTTGCCCTCCTCTGGACACACTCCAGCTTGTCCACATCTTTTTTGAATTGTGGTGCTCAGAACTGGTCACACTATTCCAGCTGGCAGTGGCAAACCTCCTCTGAAAAAACATGCCAAGAAAACCAAATGATATTTGCCTTAGGGTTGCCATAAGTCGGAAATGACTTGAGGGCACACAACAACAATAATGGGATTTCTTAGCACTTCTGCTATGTACCTAGGTATACGTAAAGTTATGTAATATACTAGATCAAGTAGGATTCCAACAATGATTTGCATACTCTCTTAAGCTTTGTAGTGGCCCACATCAGTAAAAGCTGTCAAGATCACTTATAATTTTGTTTATGTCTATATATTACCTGCAATTAACAGAGATAGTATTCAACTCAATACCATCTGGTGGAGAGCATCAATGAGGTAGTGATTTTGCTCTGTTTTTGGGCTTCCTGTAGAAATACAGTTTATCATTGTGGAAATGGAATGATAGGCTGGATAGACCTTTGGTGTAGTCCAGCATTGTTATTGTTGCTGTGTGCCTTCATTTCCAACTCATGACAACTCTCCAATTAACCTATCACAGGGTGGTGGTTTTTTGTTTTTGTTTTTTGGTTAGATTTGTTCAGAGGGGCTTTGCCCTTGTCGTCTTCTGAGGCAGAGAAAGTGTGATTTGCCCAAGATAACCCAGTCGAGTTCCACTGTTGAGCAGGGATTTGAACCCTGGTCTCCAAAGTTGTAGTCCAGCATTAAAAACCACAGTACCACTCTGGCTCTCATCTAGTTCAGCATGGCTCTTGTGATGTTCTCAGATTTTTGTGATACAATTCTTAAATTTTTGCCGTCTTTGAGAAGGCATAAAATTTTGTAATAATCAATAAGCGCTTTAGAAAAATAACTTTGCAACCAATGCATTATTTGGGTCATCAATGCATGAAAGAAAAATGAACAAAATGCTAGAGAATCTTTTGCCAACCTAGGAATGAATTTCAAGTGGGAGTTGCTGTGTGTGTGTGTGAATTAGTATTCTGTTTCTGAAGATATGCTCTGCTTTGCTTGTATCCAAAGGAAGAAAGAAACAAATGCCGGAGGATGCCAGGAAATGGCAGATGAGTCATAAGAAAATCTTTGTGTGTGCAAAGCAGGAAGGTGGGAGGGAAAGAAGATTTTAATAATGCTTGGAGCTACCTTTGAAGTTGGGATGAATCCATCTGCACTCTGTGAGATGAAACTTAAAAAAGTTTTGTACATTGAAGAACTCAGATAGTCAAAACTTACAATCTTCTCTGTCCTATGTCTTTTGAAGATGTGATTGCCAAACAGTTCTTAACCAATTTCCTTTTTGATGCGAAGTACTGGGGTGACATCCATGATCATTACATGTACTACCTGATCTCTCTTTCTCATAAAATGCTTGTTTGGAACACAGCAATGCTATTTAATGGAGGAAGGCAATAACACAGTCAAACAGAAAGGCCGAAAGAGAATAATGGATGTTTAGCCACAAGGGGTCACCAAAATTTCTTCTATGAACAACAACAAAAAATCAAAGCTATTAACATAATGAATGTTACACAAAGCAAATGTGGGAACAGGAAGCCACAGGGAAAAAAAAACAAGGGCTGTTTTTCTCTCTTTGAAAACACCAACAAGTTTTAAAATTGCCACAGTGCTTTCTTTCCTTTTTTAAAAAAGGCATGTATAAAGCAGAGTAACAAAGGCCAACTTGTGGGAGAATGGGATGGCCTTTTCTCCTCATTTCCAATGTATCAGTGCCCTTTTGAAAGCTGCAGAGATTGGCATTTCAACATCACAGTACTGGTGACAATATGCCTGCTGTCAGGCTATGCAAAAAGGCAGCAGGGAATGCAAACGCAGCCTTGTCATTAAATCCAATTCCTTTCAGTGACAACTCAGACATATGGCTGATCCAGACACAGCCATATTGATTTGCTAACTATAAATCACATATTTCCAGGTGGCAGGATCGGTTAGACTAGGTTTAGATTAACACCTCTACTGATCTCCTCTGTTTTATATGCAGACAAGTAGGGAACAAGTCCACATATTGCGATTAAAATTTGCTTTGGAAAATACTAGTTTTATACCTGCATACCCTATAGCAAACACCTAATGTGGGGTTAGTCACAAAAGATATATCTTTAAGCACTGGTAAATAAGCCTGTGTTACCTGTCTTAATCAAGTTTCCTAAAAAGGTATACACTGATGCACTGATTTTGAGAACTGAAACTCAAACCTAAAGAGAACTGTAATGATTTTCATGAAAGTCCAATTCTGTTGTCAAACTGGGACTCAAAGACTATTGTAGGTCACCCAGTTCTTTAAAAAAGTAACTAGTCCATAAAACTCCTTTGCAAATTGGGATCTTTACTTTATGGTATCTCCCTCACTCCCACAAACACCTTTAGGTCTTCTTTATTTGTATTCATTGAAATATTTAGCTCAAAAAGGAACTCTCAAGATGCCCACCCTCCAAGGAATAGGCAGCACCAGCAGTAATAAATAAAGAAAAGATAAATTGAACTATGGACAAGGATGTTGGAATAATGATGTTTTGAAATGGCACTTAATGGCAAATAAAGATGAGCCAAGTGGACTACACAAGACTGGAAGTTCCACAGGATAGGCCAGAATGTCGTATCCTGTTTGCATATCCTGTTCGATCCATGAGTCTCTTCTGCATTTAAATGTATAATTTTGAAATCATTTATTACTTTAAAAACCCTGAAGTTATGAAATGATTGCACAAATTAGAGAGCACAGTGAAGTTCTTCTATTACTCTAAATCTTCTAAGGTCCTAATGTAAAATTAAGGATCAGGAACCTAACTTCCATTTTACTTGTCACCACTTGAATGGAAATTGCAAAGCACTGGAGAATATTAAAAGGCTTGTCGTTTAGATCCTGGCTTGACAGAGTTCAGAGCCTTCTCTGAAAACATGGCAGATCAATTTAGCCAAAGAACTTACTAGAGCCAGGATATGTGAAGAAGTGTGGTAATAGTTTATTGAAACAAAAGTAATTCTCCCTATGCTCCTCCCTGCAATCTTTGCTGAAATTCTGGAAATCTTTCTGATAACCCATTGTACTATGACAAACATTTGCAATAAATGAGCCAATGTACTAAGCTGATTCTCTCTTTTCCTTCCTGCAAGTGCTAAAATCAGCTTGGTGCTGATAAAGTTGTTAATGTTTATTATTTGTTTTTAAGTTTGCTTTGTTGCACTCTTTAAAATGTTCTGTTTATTACAATATATATATATATATATATATATATATATATATATATATATATATAATTTTCTGAAGTCATTCGAGAAACAAATTAAGTATCAGTATCCTATTTAAAATCACAGTGTTGGAGAGTTACAAAATAGGAAGGGGCCTTGGAGATAATCTAACCCAAAGTCTTGTTTAATTCACAATCTCTGCTGCAGAAAACAATGATAGCACCCCTGAAAGATAGCTTTCCAACCTCTGCTAAAACACCTCCAGTGATGAACAAGCCCATTAGGGTGAGCAGCTTGTGCCAGACTCTTAGACTGAGTCAAAATCTGGTTCTCTACAACTTGAGTCTACTGGTTCTAGTCCTACTCTCTGGAGTTGTTGCCTTCATTTCTGACTTACAGAGATCCTAAGATGACCCTATCATGCAGTTTTCTTGGTAAGCTTTGTTCAGAAGAGGTTTGTCATTGCCTTCCTCTAAGGCTGAGAGAATGTGACTTGCCCAAGGTCATCCAGTGGATTTCATGGCCAAGCTGGAAATTGAGCCCTGGGCTCCAGAGTCGTAGTCCAACACTCAAGCCATTAGACAGTCTACTGGTTCTAATTGTACCCTATGGAGTAACAGTTAGAAAATTGATTCTATCAAGAATTCAGACTCCTAGAATCTGTCTAGTTGTAGCATTGAATTAAGCACTAAACCAGCTGGGAGGCAAGCTGGCATTTGAACAAGCCCATGCAGCTGAGCCACCAGATCCCAAGCAGTAAAAAACCTATCTATGAACAGTGTCAAACAGGTCTGTTCCAGGCTTTTGCTTTGTTTAAGTAAGGCTTCTGAGTCAACAACAGAATTATCTGTTACTGTCCTTGTTGACCTTTTTCTCCAGACATATTAGCATTATATTTTTCATTATTGCAAGGCAGAGGATGAATTTGTTATGTATATAATTATTTTTTAAAACAGCTAACCAACAGTCCTCAGATACATTTCTGTGTTGAAAAGTGAAGTCTTCAACATTAGCATGTGCTTCATCAAATGAGCGAGAACAGATCAAAACCAACAAAGACTAACTAGCAGTGCCAGTAAATGTTCATTTAGAGGGATTTGGTTCAGAAATGCCTCATGGATGAAAGAGTCCTACTGATGGCAGACATCTAAAATTTTATTTGGCAATTTAATGAAACATTTTAATGAGATTTTATAAACAGTGACCTTTAGCTGAAGAGAAATGGAAAGGTGGGGACACTTTCAAGCATATTTGAAGCATATTTGAAAGTGAAATATATTAACATTTTTTTAAATTTTTAACCATCAATTTTAGATGACTGACTGTCAACTAGGTTAATATTTTCCAAGGAAGTGTGGCAATGTATAAAATGCAAGAACTGGTGGAAACATGTGTAGAATCTAAGAGTTGATAGTAGAGGGAAAACAACATTAATATATCATGTCTTCATAAACTTCAGTCCTTGGAAAGAAATCAGATATGTGTGTGTACATGTTTGTGCTTGTGTGTATGAATGTGTATTTCTAAAGCCCTAACTCTTTCCTTCGATTTGGAAACTTTGCTTCCATGTGATAAACTCCATAGACTTTCTGTCTGTAGATATCTTCCTTCTTGTCAGAGTTTTTGCTATAACAACTTCTGCTCTTCTCACTCAGTTACCTCCTTTTACTCCCTTTGTGGATGTTCCTTGATGCTCCTCTGTATTCTCTTCCAGTGATCTCCCAATCTCATTCAGTATTTTCTCCACTACTTCCACCTTACAAGGCAACTTTTCTTTTTTTCCCTTTTCTCTGAAAATGGAGCACCATCAACATTAAAGAGGTGTCCAGTCAAATCAAAGCACCCTCTGTATCTAAAATGGTCAATTGCTATGCCACAATGGGGGTCATTGATTAAAAAACAATTATTGGGTTCTTGGCAAACAATTTTTTTCTCAGGAAGGCCCAGAATGAGCAATTCTCAAAAAATGAGCAAAAACTTCTTATAATCTCATTCAGCAGGTAACCCACAAGGAATTTAGCCCAGCTAGATTTCAAGATGACCACTTGTTGTTAAACATTCATGCAAAGGAACTCCTGGGAGAGCATAAATAGTAACTTTGCTGACATAGCCACATTTTATGTATTATAGAATCATAGAGTTGGAAGAGACTACAAGGGCCATCCAGTCCAACCCCCTGCCATGCAGGAACTCAAAATCAAAGCATCCCTGACAGATGGCAATCCAGCCTCAGTTTAAAGACCTCCAAAGAAGGTGATTCCACCACACTTTGAGGGAGTGTGTTCCACAGTCAAACAGCTCTCACTGTCAGGAAGTTCTTCCTAATGTTAAGGTGGAATCTCTTTTCCTGTAGCTTGCATCCATTGTTCTGAGTCCTATTCTCTGGAGCAGCAGAAAACAAGCTAGCACCCTCCTCAATATGACATCTCTTCAAATATTTAAACAGGGCTATCATATCCCCTCTTAACCACCTCTTCTCCAGGCTAAATATACCCAGTTCCCTAAGCCGTTCCTCATAGGGC